AGAGAGAGAATAGTATGCTTTGTTCTGCATTCAGACTCCATAATTCTTTCTCTGGGTATGGATAACATTTTCCATCAGGAGTGTTTTGGAATTGTCTTAGATCCTTGCATTGCTGAGAGGAGTTAAGTCTATCAAAGTCGGTCATTGCACAATGTTGCTGTTACTGTGTACAATCTTCTCCTGGCTCTGCTCACTTCATTCAGCAACCAAACCCTTTTCAGGGCTTGCTCTTCCACCTTTGCTGTCCACCTGATACCCAACTCTCATATGTGACTCCAACAAGCTGTTGCATGTGCAGCAGCCACGCCCAGTAAATTGTCTTGGCAGACAAGCTAAACCAGATTGAGGGTAACTGGTGGACCTCACATCTGTTGATGAGTTAGGGAGATGTCTGCCCCAAGCATGTGAAGACTTTCCCTGGCAGAATGGGCAGATGAGAACGGTTTGTTTCAATGCCTATGAAGGAGGCTGAAGCAGGTGCCGTGGGGCTTTAGAGTTTGGTCAGGCATTGAAGATGCCAAGGTCATCCACTGCATTCCAGGCCATCGTCAATTGTCTTGACTTTTGTCTTGCCTCTGGACTGTGATGACTCAGGACGAGAAAGTAAGGCTGAAGACTTTGTGAAACTCTGCCTTACTTAAGTCCAATTCACACAGAAGTCAAGACATCACCTGTGATGTCATTGATCCCCTTTGAAAATGAAGGATAAACAACAGAGCGCCATTAGTATGATCATGGGAACTCTGTTAAATAGGTGTATAGTATATTTATTTTTGTTGTTGTTCAGACATTTTTCAGTCATATTCAACTCTCTTGACCCCATTTGTTTTTGGTTTTGTTTTTGTTTTTTAGGCAATTGGGGTTAAGTGACTTGTCCAGGGTCACACAGCTAGCAAGTATCAAGTGTTTGGTCTGAAGCCAGATTTGAACTCAGGTCCTCCTGACTCTAGGGCCAGTGCTCTATCCACTGCACCACCTAGCTGCCCCTTGGGGTTTTCTTGAGAGAAATACTATATGGTTTGCCATTTCCTTCTCCAGCTTATTTTACAAATCAGGAAACTGAGGTAACCAGGAGTAAGTGACTTGCCCAGGGTTACACAGCTAGTAAGTATTTGAGGCTAGATTTGAACTTGAGAAGATGAATCTTCCTGACTCTAGGCCCAGCATTCTATCTACTGTGCTACCTAGCTGCACTAGTATACATCTATTATCCCCATTTTACAGTTGGGGAAACTGAGGCCCATAAAGGCAAAGTGATTTGCCCAGATTTAATATAACTTATGTCAGATCCAAGATTCGAATGCAGGTCTTCCTGACTCAGTGCTTTTATTTTCATAGGATTTATAACCTTGAAGGACTTAGAAATGGAAGGGGACTTAGAGACCATCTAGTATTAATTTTACAAATGTGAAAACTGAGGCACAAAGATGACAAATAACTGAATGTTGTGTGGGAAGTGCTTTGTAAACCTTAAATTGCTATATAAATGTATTTTTATTGTCTAAATGTTGGGTCAAGCATGGCCTAAGGATGCATTGTGGAACCAAGTGTTGCTGGCACACTAGGAGGAGGCATTCCAATTGGTCCTTCCTATTCTCCTCAGGGTAAGGGTGAGTGACAAGGTGCCCCTGGGGTGTGCCTGTGTACCTGAGCAACCCACTATGCACACCTATGATACCTGGCACAGTGCTTTGAACACAGTAAGTATTTAATAAGTATTTGTTAAATATCTATTTTTGCATCCTTGGCACATAGTACACGACTACTGCACACAACAGGTATTGAATAAGTGAATTGAATTGGAAGATCCTAGGTTTAGAATGCTTGGTCCTTATTGTCCTTCAACCAATAATTTTCAGCAAAGGAGAAAGCAGACTTTGGGTGCCTTGGGTTTCCTTGGTTTTAAAGAAAGTTTCATGGAAGGTACAACATCTGAGTTTCTTTCCAGATGGAGAGGTAAATAGGTTGACTGCTCCCTGCAGTGAATTCAGTTTTAGGGTTACTGCTTTTTGCTCCAGATTTTCCTGAACACAAATGGATAGGGAAAACATAATGGTTTGTTCTATTGCATTAAGGCTTCAAGATTCCAAATAAATCATGTAGGTCGCAAAGAAGAATATTCTGACTAAATGGTAGCCAGGACCTCAGATGTCGTTTCCTAGTTCCCATATTGCCTAATAAATCCATGACAGATGGTGACTTGATGGTGTTTCAAGCTCATTTCAATCATATCCTCTTCTCTCATGCCCCATAAACAGTATTTGGAAACATAAGTGTCTAGGCCCCTCCATTCCAAACAACTGCTGAATTACAGGCACACTGCCTCATGGGAAATAAAGCCCTTGTTCTCTTCCAATGAAGATTTGTGCTCTGGTTTCACGCACCCTGGGAATTTTAGTCCTTTCCTACCTCAGTTATATGTGGTACAGTTCAATTCAACAAACATTCATAAATATCTATTATGTACAAGGGATTATGCTAGGTGCTTGGGATAGAAAGCCTAAAAGTAAACAATCTCTGCCCTTAAGGAGTTTACATTCTACTGAGAGAATGCATATGTGTATGTGTGTATACACATACATGCATATACACATATGATACATATGTATATAATATCTAATTATATATTATAATGTAATATAATATATAAATGCATATATATGTATATAACATGCATGCATATATTAATTGAAAATTGACAATCACATTTGTGTATCTCAGTTTGATTTTGCCATGGGGCTTTGTTTCAACTGCTTCCCAGTAGGACCTTCAACTGTGTGCTCAATTGTGCCTCATTCTCCAGGCTCTCCACCCCCTTCTCTCTCTCTTTCTCTGTATGCATGTGCACGTATACATATATACACAAATGTGTATATAGTGTGTATATGCATGTGTGTGTATCTGTATGTGTGTATATATATATATATATATTTATGGAGGGAGAAAGCATTAACAACTTGATGGGATCAAGAGAAGCTTTATGTAGAAGGAGGTATCTGAGCTGAGCCTTGAAGGAGCTAAGGATTCTGATGGTAAGAGATAAGAAGGGAGTGCAGTTCAATCATGGGAGATATTCTATTTCAAATTATAATGATGAAAGATGGAATGCCTAGATCTGGGAACAGCTACTAGGGCTAGTCTGGCTAGAATTCAGAGTAATATGAAGTAAATCTAAAAAAAAATTATTTCAGGCCAGATTGTGGAGGACTCTAATTACTATGCTGAGATGTTTATACATTACTTTAGATGCAGTAACAATCTGGTTCTGAACCAGGGCATGACAAGATCAGACCAATGTTTTGGGAGAATTATCTGGTCAGTGGTAGGTGTCTCCGCATGTCTCTGATGTTCTTATCTGGTTCACTTTTTCCTGTGCCATGGTGCTTATATTGTTGGATAGGTCCACCATGAAAGAAGGAGCCTGCTTCTCAGCAAGCAGTGCCTTGGGAGGGGGAGTGGAACAGGGCATCAGAAGATCTTGATCCATATCCAACTTCTGTTATTGATTAGCTGTGTGATCTTAGATGAGTCATTCAGTTCCTACATATATCAGATGAAAGGGTTAGATAAAATGACCTCTAAGGTCCTTTATAATTCTAACATTTTGAGTATAGCAAAGAAACTGTACCATAGGCAGGCGTGACAGACATGTGCTATTCTTATCAATGCTGCTCTCAACAGCTGTTGTGTGAGTGGACTTTATGCCCATCATAATGAAAGCTGTTGTCATATATTCAACGCATCTTTTTTCAGAATATACACTGTAAGATGTTGCCATTACCACTTCACCATATTAAAGGGTAGAATGTCATCTGGTTTTCTTTTTCAATTTTGTTATGGAAAACAGGAACACTTGATAACTCTTTTTCTATAGCACTTAAATTACATTATGCTTTTCCCACAACAAGCCTGTGAGATAAGTAGTATTTGTCTCCCTTTACAGATGGGACAACTGAGGTTCAGAGAGGTCAGATGATTTGTCTGTGAGGTGGGAGCTAGCATTCAAACCCACATCTTCTGACTTCAGGTCTTTTCCATTATACAGCACTGCCTCTTTGTATATGAAAACAAAAGGAAAAAAATATGTATACATTTGTATACCTACCATGCCCTTCCCCCCAGCCTTCATCTCAAAGCTTGTCAAAAATACTATATAATAGTGCTGTCAGACAGATATGGATAATGGGTAACAGCATTGCTGCCAACGTGACTTAGAAGAGTAAATAGAAATATTGTACCCACCACAGTTTTCTGGCTGGCAGTCATCTCATTTCTTTCAGAAAGTGACAAACTTCTTGGCAGCTCTCTGACATGGCCAAGGAAGCCTTTCGCTTAACCTGTTGGAGCAAAGAAGTAGAAATCAAGTATTAGTAGTAAGAATAGGAAAGAACGGACTTAGCCCTTTAGGTAAACCGAGGAGCAGTGTGATAGGTATTGTAGCTAATTACTCTCAAAAGGTCTTATTCTTCCCCTTCCTTTTTCACCCTCCCATCTGTTGGTGACACAACATCCCTAGTGTGCTCCCTTACATCCTTTCTTCAAGGATGCTGCAAATATGCTGCCAAGTTGGCCACCATTAACAACCTGCTGAGACTGCTTCTGTGGTAGCATCTTTCTGGGGTGGAGTGAGTAGAAACCACATCAGCTACAGGTCTATACTGTTAGTGCCAGACAGAATTAAAGCCTTATATATAGACAACTATGCCTAGCAATCCTCTTCCCTTTTTCCTGGATCCTCCCCCATAATGTTTGGCCTGAAGTCTTTGCCTGTGCTGAGAGGTACTTCTAAACCCTGACTGTGTCTGAAACCTGTGGTTTCTTAGTCCAATTAGCCCTAGGATGGTTATGGCTGCAGTCCAAAGGAAAATATTATATGAACATGCTCAATAGGACAAATTCTTAGCATAGCCAAGGCTGGCTCCCCTCTGCCACTGATCCTTTCATTTATTTCTCACATAGCCCCCATGCATCTAAACAGGCACACAATTTTCCCAGCTGTTGAATTTACATGTATTCTAATTCCAACAGGAACTAATTTAAAGTGGCTCCCCTCAGGTAAATTATCCCAAGCCCATTGGCTCCACATGTCACATATTCACAAGTAAAACAGACCTCTGAAGAGTATTAAAATTAAAAATTCTAAAATATTTTGAGTAGGGCTATGAAAATAACCATAAAATCAGCATGTAAACAAGATGTTCTAACAAGGTTCTCCAGGTACTATTGCAAATCAGCTTTAATCAGAGAGTTTGAATAAGTCAGTTGGGACTAGAAATTAAATGATGTTTAAAACAATTGGCACATGAAGAAATAAGTTTTTATGAGCACACAAATGATGGCTAGAGTGATTCATTTGCACTATGTATATTAGAATTTCAATATAATATATGTGATTAAAAAAATGATTTACATTTCCAAAGTGCTGTAGCTTACAAAGTACTGTCTTCCCTACAGACTTGGGAGGTAAGAAGTACAAATACAGTGTTATTATTTCCATTATATAGAGAAGGAAACTGAATCACAGAGAGGTTAAACAACTTGCCAAAAGCCATAGAATTAGTAATTGCTAAATCCAAGACTTGAGCTCACCTCTTCTGACTCTAATACCAGTGCGCTCACCAGCATACCACGGTGCCTTTCTAGAATGGAATTAGGTAGAAGGTGGGTTTTCCTTGAGCTCTGTTCAAAGGTACAGCAGATTGACCTAGAACATGGTCCCATAGCATGGACTTAAAGAACATTGTTGAACTGAAAATCCAGGGAATAGTCTACTACCACAATTTGACACATTCCCTTAGCAGAGTGTAACAGAGTGTAAATACAACGAAATAAGTGACTGATCAGTCATGACTTCTAATCAACTGTAAGATGTCCTATTTTCAAGCAAATTCTTTGTACCTTTCCAAAGAAGAGGAAAATATTAGAATTACTTGGTAATCCCTAATGTCTTTCTCAGATCTCCCCTCTGCCCACCTTCCTGTTAGATGTGGAGAAAAACATATAATTCTTTTGCTTGGACAAGCCTGTTGTCCCAGAAACTGCTAAGACAGAAAAAGGAATTCTCCCTCAAAGTTATTATGTAAATAAACTCTACATCTTTTGTATGGAGTGATTTCAAGTAGAAAGAAATATTTACATTAAAATTTTCAGTCATGTCTGACTCTCATGACCCCTTTTGGGTTTTTCTTGGCAAAGATACTGAAGTGGTTTGCTATTTCCTTCTCCAGGTCATTTTACAGATGAAGAAATTGAGGCAAACAGGATTAAGTGACTTGTCCAGGATCACACAATTAGAAAGTGCCTAAGGCCAATTTGAAGTCAGGAAGAAGAATCTTCCTTACTCCAGGCCCAGCATGTTATCCACTGAGCCACCTAACTGCACGACATTAAAATAGAACAGGTATTTGTAACACCCTTTTTTAAGATGCTTTAAAAGCACTTTCAAATTTGCTACTGTTGAACAAAATCTTCTGCTTAGAAGAGTTATGGGTATGTAGATAAGGTAGATCCTAGTGGGAGGAAACTAAAAGCTTTAGATGAGGGATAGACAATAAAAGGGTTTGATTCAGACCCTGGGCCAATACCATTGCATCACAAAGGCCAAGCACTCACCACCAGCCCCAAGTGCAGCCACCCCATACTTAGCCAATCATTATCTCTCTCCCCTGAGGTATAGATCTTGAAGTTAGGGAATTAATAGCAAGTGTCAGAGACATGTTAAAAGTATAACTTAGAGAAGATGGCAGAGAAAAGGCAGCAACTCGCCTGAGGTCTCCCAAAACCCCTCTAAACAACTTTAAATAATACCATATAATAATTCCAGGAACAGCAGAACCCACAAAAGGATAGGGTAAAATTGTTTCCCAGCCAAAGACAATTTAGAAGGTTGGCAGGAAAGTTTTGTTGCACCAGGGTGAGAGTGTAGTGTAGTCTCCATGTGCAGGCCATGCCTGCACACATCCAGCCTCGGCAAATCAGGAGCAGGCATGGGGAATGACTGAACAGACAGCGGCAGAAGCTGCTTCCGGAGCTCTCAGCCCACAGACCATAAGGGGGTCAAACATTCTGGTCAGAAGGAGATTACAGGGGTCCCTTTGCTAGCACTCAGGTCAGGACTCTGTGGCTTCGCCCATACTCAGATCTGGGTCACAGTCCTGGGTGGCAGTTCTAGGGTGAAGAGGAGTACTAGCACACAGAACTTGTAGCCACAGTGAAACAGGGATCCTCATCACAGTTCCAGGGCAGAATAAAGGTATTTGTGGTCTCTCACAGATCAGAGCACAGGCCAAGAGAGTAATAAATATACCTCTCCTTAGATCATACCACCTTGGAAGAACTGAAAACTTACAGTTCCATAGAAGTATCTCTGAAAACAGCTGCACAAAACTCCTGAAGCTTAGGGCAATGTGCCCTCCACCCTGGAAATAGAGCTCTACTTTAACAAAGAGTTAAAAGTGAAGAAATAGTCTGGGAAAATGAACAAACAACAGAAAAAAATTCTGACCATAGAAAGTTAGACAACAAAGATCAAAACATACACTCAGAAGAAGATAAGTCAAAGCTCCTACATCAAAGCTTCCAAGAAAAATATGAATTGGTCTTAGGCCAAGGAAAAGCTCAAAAAGGATTCTGAAAATCAAGTAAGAGGGACAGAGGAAAAATAGGAAAGAAAAATGAAAGTGATACAAGAAAATCATGAAAAATGAGTCAACATGGGGCAGCTTGGTGGTGTAGTGGACAAAGTACCAGCCCTGAAGTCAGGAGGACCTGAGTTCAAATCCAGTCTCAGACTAAACACTTGACATTTACTAACTGTGTGGCCCTGGGCAAGTTACTTAACCCCAATTGCCTAAAAAAAAAGAGTCAACAGCTTGGTAAAGGAGATACAAAAAAAAAAAGAAAAGTACAAAAAGCCAATGAGAACATCTTAAAAAGCAGAATTGGACAAATGGAAAAAGAAGTACAAAAATTCATTGAAGAAAAAAAACTCCTCAAAAATCAGAATTGGCCAAATGGAAAAGGAAGTATAAAAGCTCACTGAAGAAAATAATTCCTTAAAAATTAGAATTGAGCAAGTGGAAGCTAATGACTTTATAAGAAATCAAGAAATAATAAAACAAAACTAAAAGAAAAAAAAAGAAGACAATGTGAAATATCTCATTGGAAAGATAACTGACCTGGAAAATAGATCCAGGAGAGATAATTTAAAAATTATTAGACTACCTGAAAGCCATGATTAAAAAAAAAGAGTCTAAGAAATTATCAAAGAAAACTGCCCTGATATTCTAGAACCAGAGGGTAAAATAGAAATTGAGAGAATCCACCATTCACCTCCAGAAAGAGATCCCAAAATGAAAACTCCCAGGAATACTATAGCCAAATTCCAGAGCTCCCAGGTCAAGAAGAAAATATTGCAAACAGTCAAAAAGAAACAATTCAAGTATCATAGAGCCACTGTTAGGATAACACAAGATTTAGCAGTTTCTACCTTAAAGGATCAGAAGGGCTTGGAATATGATATTCTGGGAGACAAAAAAGGAGGATTACAACCAAGAATCACTTACCCAGCAAAACTGAGTATAATCCTTCAGGGGGAAAAAACAGACATTCAATGAAATAGAGGACTTTTTGATGAAAAGACCAGAGCTGAATAGAAAATTTGACTTTCAAATACAAGATTCAAGAGGAGCATAAAAAGATAAACAGGAAAGGGAAATCAGAAGGGACTTAATAAGGTTAAACTGTTTACATTCCTACATGGGAAGATGATACTTGTAACTCTTAAGAACTTTCTCATTATTAGGGCAGTTGGAAGGAGTACATATTGACAGAGGGCACAGGTGTAAGTTGAATATAAAGGGATGATATCTAAAAAAATAAAATTAAGGGGTGAGAGAGGAATATACTGACAGAAAGGGACAGGAAGAGGTAGAGTGGGGTCAATTATCTGACATAAAAGAGGCAAGAAAAAGCTTTTACAGTGGAGGGGAAGATGGTGGGTGCAGCAGACAACATTTGAACCTCACTGTCATTGGAATGGGCTCAAAGAGGGAGTAACATACACACTCAATTGGGTATAGAAATTTACTTTACCCTATAGGAAAGGAGGAGGGGAAGGGGATAAGAGAAGGAGAGGTGATAGAAGAAAGGGTAGATTGGGGGAGGGGAGTGATCAAAAGCAAAACACTTTTGAGAAGGGACAGGGTGAAAGGAGAGAGAGAGAATAAACAGGGGTGAATAGGATGGAGGGAAATACAGTTAGCAATAGAAACTGTGAAAAAAATTTTGAAACAAGTTTCTTTGATAAAGGCCTTATTTCTCAAACATATAGAGAACTGAGTAAAATTTATAAAAAATAAGAGCCATTCCCCAATTGAAAATGACCAAAAGATATGAACAGTTTTCAAATTAAGTAATCAAAACTATCTATAGTCATAGGAAAAAATGTTCTGACTCACTATTGATTGGAGAAATGCAAATTAAAATAATCCTAAGGTATTACCTCATACCTATTAGATTGGCTAATATGAGAGAAAAGGAAAATGACAAATATTGGAAGGGCTGTGGGGAAAATGAGACATTAATGTATTGTTGGTGGAGTTGTGAACTGATCCAACCATTCTGTAGAGCAATTTGGAACTGTGCCCAAAGGTATATAAAACCACGTGTACCCTTTGACCTAGCAATACCACTACTAGAGCTGTATCCCAAAAGAGATTAAGAAAACAAAAAGGGAAAGGACCTATATATACAAAAATACTTATAGCAGCTCTTTTCTGATGGCAAAGAATTGGAAATTGAGGGAATGGCCATCAATTGGGGAATGGCTAAACAAATTGTGGTATGTGATTATGATGGAATATTATTGTGCTATAGGAAATGAGGAGCAGGATGCTCTCAGAAAAAACCTGCAAAGATTTACATAAACTGATACAAAGTGAAATGTACTGTGTATAAAGCAGCGGCAATATTTTAAGATGATCAGCTGTGAATGATTTAACTATTGTCAGCAATACAATGATCCAAGATAATTCTGAAGGACTTATGATGAAAAATGCTATCCATTACCAGAGGAAAGACTTGTATGAAATAACGAAGAGAGAAATAAGCAGAACCAAGACAATGTTATTTACAGTAGCAACAATATTATTTGAAGGATAACTGTGAACAACTAAGTTATTCTGAGTATTATAAATACTTAAATCAACTACAAAGGACATATGAAGTTAGATACTATCCATCTCCAGAGGAAAAAAACTGATAAATAGAAGTATGCATAGTATGATTTTACATGTATATGTGTACATATATGTATATGTATATGTGTGTATATATACACATATGTGAAATCTGTGCTAAATGGCAACCTTCTTTAGTGTGGGATGGGGAGAGAGGGAGGGACACAGCTTAGAACTTAAAATGTAATAAAAAATTAAATTAAAAATAAAAACCAGAGATGGAAAAGAGGGATGAGATACAAACCAAAGTGTTATATGAGATCTGATAGAGTAAGTCATTAACAACCAGATGGATAAAAGGAGGCTTCATGGAGATAAAGGCATTAGAGTCAGGTTTTAAAAGATGGACAGGAATTCAAGTGGTAAAGAGTCTGAGACAGAATGCTTTTAGGTATAGGGAACAGTATAAGCAAAGATGTGGAGGGAGGAGACCACAAATTTGTATGGGGGCAGAAATCCAATTGCTTGGAAGGAACTAATATGAGATAAGGCTATTAAAAAGTGTTCCTTTTTTACTTGAACATTTTTATTTACTGATAGAAGCAGGGAGAAAAAAGGACATTTCCATTAAAAAAAAAAACCCCATTGAGAAAAGAAGCCTGAGAAAAGTACTTGGGAGAAATGCAGATAGTTTTGAGAGGATGTGAAAGAAAGCAGCCTCTCAGAAGGAAAGTACTGAGAGGATCTGAGAGAAATCAACACAACAGAGAAAAAGAACTTTCTGAAAGCAAAAATGACTGAAGTGTCTTGTTTCCCAGAAGTTCACTTACATATGACTGTTGTGTGAACTTTGAGGGTAACAGATGAGAAGCCCTGATAATGAGACCCTTTTTTTTGGTAACTATGGGACATCCATACATTTGCCCATTTGTGGCAAATATGACAGAATTGTGAATTTTGGTTTCTTACTGTAAGGGAAAGAGAGTTCCTTCACATGAGGAGACCTTGCTTTGAGGCAGCAGCCAACCAGCACCTGAAGTTAGCAACCAAAGAAGCCAAGTCAGTGACCAAAGAGAACCCAAATGCAGGCAATAAAGAGAAACAGAGCACAGGAGGATCAGAAGTGGTACATCTTGAAGCAAAGCAGAGAAAGAAGCAGAGAGCTCTGTTCCAAGTCTAGCAAAGACCAGCTGAGCAAAGGAAGACTGGTTTTGTCCTTGCTGGTGGGGGCTGATCTGATTGAAGAAAAGCTCTACTCTTTGAAAGAGATGGTGGAGAGAAAAACAGAATATTATGCTGTTTAAAGAATTGGATGGGGAAAGGAAAAAGTTGGCTCCTTTGCTCATTACTTACACTCACAGTTTGAAATCTCCCACAGTTCAGCAAGCAGACCTGAAGAGTTCTGTGGATTGCAGACTTTGGGGAACTATTTTGCTAAGAGGACTAGCACTGCCTCTGAGCATGGCCAAAGGATAACCTGCAGATGTCAGGCTAAGTTTTCTGTTTTCACTAAAAGAGCTTAACACTGCTTCAGAGGCCCAAGAGCAGCATGCAGAAGAGAAGCAGTTTCATCAAGCAGGACAGCAAGGAAGACCACAAGAGGCATGGCTTCCTCCAGCAGGTAGTCTGTGGTAGTTCCTAAGGAAATCAAGGACTGAAGCCCTGAGTTGTAAGTTGTCCATGGGTACATGAGTTTGTCTACTAATTTCCTACTCTGCTAGATTTTTGCAGATTTATGCCCACTCTTCCCCACTGACATTGTGTACATCGGTGGGAGAGAGTGTGGTCCAAGTTTATGGGTGGAGTGTTATAATTAATTCTGCTTTTTGCTTTCTTGTTTAGTCAATGTTTCATGGTTAAGAGATAATAGTGTCATCTTGGCTGATTTGTTTACCAGGGAAGCACAACAGAGGGGGCTCAAGAGCTAGAGCTGTGAATAGTTGAGGTACAGCTCTCCTCATGTCACTGTTACTCTCAGAACTCAGAGCGAGGCAGTGCTGTGTGCCCATATCCTCTGGGAACCCTTCTAACTTGTCATTGTGAGTGCATGTTGGGGTGAGTATGCCAGCCTCAGGCCAAAGAGGGAAAACAATCAGGGGGTCAATGGCCATGTCCATGCTACATAAGAAGGGCAGATTTTGAAGGGCCTCAAACGCCAAGAAAGTAAATATGAACATGAGCTATAGGGAGCTGCTGAACTTTTTTTTTTCTAGCAGAGGAGTGACATGACCAGATATATGCATAATAAAGTGCTTTGAAAACTGAAAAATGCTCATATAAATGTAAACCATTGTTATTATTGAATAATACGAGCATATATGTGTATCTCACATATATACTATACATAACCTTGGACAAATCACTTAAGTTCTCTGTCTCTCAGTTTTTTAATCTGTGAAATAGGATATTTGTGCTACCTATGTAACAGAGTTGTGGGAAGGATTAAATGAATTCAAATGAAAAAATGAATTTTTAAAATTGTTAAAAATGTAAATTGCCCTAAGTAAATGTCAGCTATTATTATCACTGTCAACCAGTCTCCTTTTTCTCACTACAGTTACCACTCTATAGCTCTCTAACCTATTCTCCATCAACCAATATAACAACAACAACAAAAAAAAAGCGGGGGTGGGGAGTGGAGAAGCTTATGATGTTTTCATGTAGGACTGACTAAGGAACCTCAGAAGCAGAAACCTTCATAGGAAAAATTCCTTGGGGAAAGGGTGAAACATGTTTCACTTCTCTGAAATTGACAATAGTCATTTCACCTGACAGAGTTTCTAGGATTCTAGACCTCTGTTACTACCTTCCACCATCATCTGAAAGTGCAAAAAAACTGTCCCTGCTGTCTGTTTCCTTGCTGACAAGAAGCTGAGGGAAGCCTGGTAAATCATTTAGGCCTGTGTCAGCACTGGCAGGGAGAGTGGGGAAGAGGGGCTGTTTGGGGAATTTCACCTGTACTTCTGCAAATGTAAGGATAGTGTTATCCCTTTTCCAGAAGAGGAAAAACTGCAGTGAGATTTTTTTTTTGTTTTTCTGAAGCTAGTTGCATCACTGCATGAGGTGGGGGATGGAAGAAGAGTAGGAGAGATTCTTCACTGCAGTGAGCCTTTAGTATGAGGATGATCCAGATGCCTTGCCTTCTGTATCTGGTTCTGGGTCCCACTTGGACACTTTCCAACAAAAGGAGGCATCCTAAGGTTTTTTGTATGTTTAGTAGGTCATATCTTGTTTGTCTGTGGCCACAAAGTCAAGTAGCTTGGGGATTCAGGCATGCAAATCCCAAAGGGAGAAACAGGGGGAAAGCAGCATGGTATAGTTGGTAAATGTCAGCAATTCTGCCTGATACTAGGCTGTGTGACCCTGGGCAAGTTGCTTACTCTCTGAACCTTAGTCTAATCATCTGTAAAGTGAAAGGGTTAGACACAGTGGCCTCTTAGGTTCTTTTCAGCCCTTGCAATCTGTGATCCTGTGAAGAGAAGTGGCTGGACCAGAGGAAAACAGGCACTGCTATTTGCTGCCTGCCTGATACTTCCTACTTAAGCTGTTTTCCTTTCCCTTGTGGCACGCAAGCTTCATGGGTTGTAGGCCCTGACAACACGAGCATTGAAGGGAAGCAGCAGAATGCTATGAAAAGAGCCCTGCACTTTGGAGCTGGGAAAACTAGGCTCCACCCCAACTCTAGCAGTAACTCACTGAGTAAATGATTTGCTCCAATTTACAATCTCTGGGACCAAAGGGTTGAGCTAGCTGGTTTCCAAGGACCCTAAGATTGTATGGAATGGAATGTAACATCTCTGCTCCTGTGGGTCTGGCTGGTCATACAATAGGCAGTTCATTGAATCAGGCCCCTGGTTTAGAGGGAAAGTGGATCTAATGTGAACCCAATACCACATTGCTTGTGCATGCTTGCTCTCTTTGAGAAAGCTAAGTCTGATTAGATTTCCTCCTTGTTTTGTGCTGTCATTAAGAGTTTATGATAGCAATGTACTGGCTGTTGTCTAGCAAATTGCTGCTCTGTTTTCCATTGCTGTAAGACTGAGACTTCTCTTGTAAAAAGGACTCTGGCAAAACAATGGCTCCTTCCAAGCCAGTGCCCCAAAACCCTTGAAAATTCCTGGCATTGATGATAAATGGCTCATTTATCTCATTGGTGCCTTAAAGGAGTCTGGAGGAGGTGAATGTCCTTAACACTCTCTGGGGTTTCCACTGCAAATATAAATCCTGTTCATTTGATTCAGTACTTTTTGTGTTGACAGCTACTTTCAGATACATTATTTTAAGAATCACCTTGTATTTTCCCCAAGGACTTTGGTTTGTGGAATTGGCCAAGGCTCTTGCCTAAATTCTTGTAGCTCCTTTACAGAGATGTCCTGGGTCTCCTCACTCCCCTTTGTCAGTTTCTGATGAGAAAGGTCAAGGGTGAGTGGTAGTGGTAAGGTGTTGCATGGCCCCTAAGACAAACACACAAATAAGAAGCATCTGTAATTTTGTCAGTGTGAGGAGTTCCTGGTGTGTGGACTTGCCCCATCAATGGCAGGTCAATCCAAGAATAAGAACTAGAAAAGTCCTAAGAAGGCCAAGAGAAGTTAAATGACTTGTCTAGGGCCATGTGACTAGCAAAGGGTCTAGGTGAGATTTGAACTCAGGTCTTCCTAACTCTAAACCCTAACACTCTGTTCCCTCCTTTTACAACGCTTTTACCAAGAAAATTAGGGTATATTTAAATTCATTTCATATTAAGACTTTCATAACACCCCTTGACACGATAAGAAATAAGAAGATCACAAAGTTGGACTAGGGAGTGGTTTCTTACCATGTAAATTTACCTGGCTTATTTGATGAAAGTTATCCAGCCCTGCCTAGAACATCTACAAAAAGAGGTATTAGACTGACCACCAAATTGAAGGTCTACAGAGCCATTGTGTTGACCTCATTGTTGTATGCCTATGAAACCTGAAAGTACACTAGCCCCATGCCAGGAAACTGAATTGCTTCCTTCTGAATTGTCTTAGGAAGATTCTGAAGATCACCTGGCAGAACAAGATACCAGACACTGAGGTCCTTTATCAAACTAAACTGCCAAGCATTCAAACTCTACTGTAGTGTGCAACTACAATGGGCTGGCCACATTGTTCAAATGCCAAACGCATGCTTGCCTTAAAGACTATTTTGTGGAGAACTCACACAAGGCAAGTGCTCACATGGCGGTCAGAAGAAGTGATACAAGGACACTCTCAAGGTCTCTCTTAAGAACTTTGGAATTGATTGTGTGACATGGGAGACACTGGCACAGGACTGCCCAGCATGGTGTGCCCACATCAGAAAAAGTGCTGTGCTCTATGAACCAAGCAGAATTGAAGTACCTCAAAAAAAACTTGAGATGAGCAAATTTGGAGAATCCACACCAAATGTTCATATGGACTATTTGTGCTCCATCTGTGGTAGAGAAGTCTGAGCTCCTACTGGTCTGATTAGCCATAGTCTGACGTGTTGTAACTTGACTCTAACATATTGATGTCATTTTAGTCCTCTTTGAGAATGAAGGACAACAACCATTAGCAAGTAACCAACTGAATATGCTGCATTCTCAAGTCTGCTCTATAAACTTTGACTAGAGAAGACAAGGACACATGGAGTTAGCCTTGTTTTATTTTCTTGTCACAGCTGTCACCCCTAAATCAAAGCAAGTCATCTCTAAATGGGAAATAAACATTTATTTGGCACTTAAAAATCCAAATGGCTCCATCTGATGAGTCCTTTTAAAAATGCCCTAGTCTGCCTCCATAACTTACATTTTAGGTGGTGCCTTTCAATTTAACAAAGTATCCTCACATGTACTATGGCATTTACTGTTCACAGCAACCCTCTGAGGTGGGCAGGGCAAGTATTTCGATAAGACAGGTGATGTGACTGACCCTCAGTCACACAGCTGCTAAGTGGAAATACCATAAAGTGAACTGGGAGGTCTTCTGACTCCAGCACCCTTTTCCTTAGATGTGTTACGGTAGAAATATCTCCTTTCTGAGTTCATGTGGTAAGTAATTGCTGCCAAAATACATTTTCCATAATGCAGAAATTATAAAGGTAAAAACTTAGGTTTTATTATTATGCTCAAGCATAGGTTCAGGCCTCAGAGAAAACCTGAACCATCACTAGCATTTTAGCAAGCCCTCTAGGCAAAATCATATCAGAATGATGGAGAAATAATTCTCTTACATATTGCAATCTTGTATATTCCTCTTAGGTCATAAAAGTTAAAAATAAGATAAATCCATTATCCCATACTTTCTTCTATGTCATAAAAGTTGAACGAACTTAGTTAAACATTCATAATCTCATTCCTAAATTTAGTTAAATAAACTCTATAGGTAAACTAAGTCAATATACAGATGAAACTATAATT